CAACAGACCTTGGAAAGATTCTCTCAACACTGGTGCAATGAAGCAGGTGATGCCTCAGAACTGTCAAAAGCACTCAAGTAACACCCTCGGAGCAGTCTGTCCCACCTCGGGGTCTCTAGATGACTGTCCCCCAGCCTCAGGTGCTGATACAGTAACTCCCCTTTCCTTTCCTCCCTGTGGATATAGGAGAAAAAAAATTGAAACATTTGTCCAATCTACATTCTTTCCCATCTGATCCCTCCATACCCTAATCAGATGATCCCTCTCAAGTATGTAAATAATATTTAAAAATAGAATTAAATTACATTTTTAAAAACCTTGAAATATTAAATTTGAGTTGGACTGCTTCTTAGCCTTTTGGCTAACATCAAGTTTAGTATTTGTTCTTATCAGTTTAAATCTGAGTTGGAAATAACAATGGAAAATTAATTTTTAAATTTACTTTACTTGGGAAAAGAGGGAGAGACACAGAGAGTTATCATCTATCCACTGGTTCACCCCCTGCCCCATGGCCACATTGGTCAGAGCCGGACCGGGTGGAATTTGGGAGCCAGGAGCTTCTTACAAGTCTCCCCTGTAGGGACGGTGACTCAAGGACCCAGGCCATCTTTCATTGCTTTCCCAGGTCATGAGCAGGGAGCTGGATGAGCAGTGGAACAGCCAGGCCATGAACTGGTACCTATATGAAGATACTGGTGCCAAGAGGTGGAGGACTACCCTGTTATACCTATACCAGCCCCCTAAATCAAAATTTATATATTCTCCAAGTCTAATGAAAACAGAAACATCCTCTAAGCAGTAAGGCTTTACAGTTCCCAATTTTATTTCTAAATTTGGCTCCCTCAAAAATGAGCTGAAGGAAATGCCTGATACGTAGTTGGTTAGGAAAAGTGTTTCTCAGACATCATGAACACATGAAACGCTTCAAAGACTAGTGTGTCATGTATCAGATTAAAGAACCAGCTTATCTTATGACAAGCAGGGGGACAGCGACAGAGTGAGGACCAGACCTGCGGCACAGAGCAGGAGGCCCTGCCTGGGAAGCTGGGACCTCATGGACACACCGCTCCCTACCGATGGCCCGAGTACTTGGGTCAGCTCAGCCATCTGAGGAACCACCTGGACCACTGCTGGCCGCTGTGGGCACAGGAGGGAACAAACCAACAGATTCAAAAGCATTCTCTCTCTTTCACATTTTCAAATAAACAAATCTTTTAAAAATACAGGTTAAGAAAATTTAATTTTTTTTTAAAAAGCCACTTAGCGTAATCATGAAACACCTCAAATAGTACATAAAACATGACTTGGTGGTCTCTGCATTAACTCTCAACTTGCAGCTAACACATTAATATCCATGTGACTTGCATCCCGAAGCACACGCTGGACTCAACACTCAATATTCTGAGTCCATCTGGATTCCTCCTGCCTCCAGTGACTTCATCCACCTTCCCAGCGGACAAGATTCTGGAGACTCCTTCTCCACTGGCAGCTCCCCAGTCCACTATGACCTGTCCCCTATCTATCAGCAATTTCCCCACCTGTACAATAGGTATTAGCTATCTGTACCTGCCACGTGGAATCTGAAATGTGGCCCCAGGGGCTAGGGTTGCAGCACAGGGAGTAGAGCTACCACCTGCAGCAATGCCAGCATTCCATACAGTTCACATCCCAGCTGCTCCACTTCTGAGCTAGGAAATCAGCAAAAGGTAGCCCAAGTGTCTGGGTCCCTGACACCAATGCAGGAGACCTAGGCAAAGCTCCTGGCTCCTAGCAGCCAGCAAGGGAGTGAATCGGAAGATGGAAGACCTCGCTACTCTCTTCCAAATAAACAGGGACCAACGCAAAGACACAGAACAGGCTTCTGCCTGCGGCATCAGCATCCCACATGGGCACAGGTTCAAGTGCCACTGGCTCCCCTTCCCAGTTAGCTTCCTGCTATGGCCAAAAAAGGCAACAGAGGAGGTCGCTGCACTCATGTGGGAAATATGGAAGAAGATCCTGGCTCCTGGTTTCAGATCGGCTCATGTTCTACCTTTGTGGCCATTTACGGAGTGAACCAGCAGAGGGAAGCTCTCTCTGCTTCTCTCTGTAACATTCCATTTAATCAAACAAGAAACAGAAAGAAAAAAACAACTTTAAAAAAAAATTTATTTATTTTTACCTTTAACTTAAAATTAAGCTGAACTGAATCTTGAGATAAGACTAAGCACACTATCTACACGGAATAAAATCATGCTGTAACTACAGCACAGCTCAAAAGTGAAAAGGGGAAGACATCAGCACTTACTGGCACCAGCTGTTGTATTTCAGGAAATGTACTGGGAAATCTATAACCCTCCTCCATTTAATTCTCATAATAGCAAAGTCCCATCCCAGTTTACAACTAAGGAACTAAGGGTTTAAAAGACTATGGGCGGGGCCCGGCGCAACGGCCTAGCAGCTAAAGTCCTTGCCTTGCACACACTGGGATCTCATATGGGTGCTGGTTCTAATCCCGGCAGCCCTGCTTCCCATCCAGCTCCCTGCTTATGTCCTAGGAAAGCAGTTGAGGACAGTCCAAAGCCTTGAGATCCTCCACCCTCATGGGAGACCTGGAAGAGGCTTGAGGTTCGAGGCTCCTGGCTTAAGTTCAGCACAGATCCAGCCACTGTAGCCACCTGGGCAGTGAATCAATGGATGGAAGATCTTTTCTCTGTTTCTCCTCCTCCTCTTTGTATATCTGACTTTCCAAATAAAAAATTAAAAAAATAATAATAAAATCTTAAAAAAAAATCTTTTAGAAGACTATGGGTGATGAATCAGCTTTGTGGCTTCCAACCAACACAGTGGGACTCACTCTCAGCCCGGAGGTTTCTAACATGCTAACTCCAGAGCCACATTTCCTTTCGCAATGCAGTAAAGAAAATGCTCGGGTAAAATACTGTACACAGGCAGGCTGGGAAGTGAAAGCACAGTGATTACATTTATTTAAGACCAAGGACTCTGTCTCGCCAACCTAAGAGCCAAACTCGAGGTACTATTCACTGCATGCAGAGGCGCACTCAGGCCTCAACACCATGGCCTCTCAGTTCACAGGGAAAGGCGCTGCAGACACAACGCAAGCACAGGGTCAGTTAACAAGGGCGCCTGCCGCAGCCCCAACAGGCCAAAGGAAAACTCACACTGCACATCACCAAACTCAAGTCGAGTAGTGTGACCTCTCCGGACAGAAGGAAGGGATAGAACCACCCAACCTGCCCAGCAGACCAGTTCTTCCAGTGTCAGCAGGTTCACTCTGGGTAAGCCCTTACAAAAGAGGGTCACGTGATGCTATCTGAGCCTGACCCGGCTTTAACTGTTCTGTGGCTTGGTTCCCAACTTACTGTGGAAAGACCAATAAGCTGTTTTTACTTTCTTCAGCCTTTATGTCTCACAAACTCACTTCAGACTTTCAAGGAGCAGGCCCAGAGGCTGAGATGCCGGAGCTGGACACAGCTGGAAGGAGGCAGCGACTCCTCAAGTCATCCGGCTCCTGGCTCAGTCAGGGTCAGCCCAGCCCTGGGGGCACGCGGGAGGTGACCCAGCAAGCAGGAGCTCAGGCCTGTGCTCCCTTCCCCTTTCAAACGAAACTGAAATGTAATGCAAGCGCTCCAACAGTCTTAATTTTGTGCTCTGACAACACCAGTGGCCCACATTTCACAAGGACTGTTGGGAACTTCCGCTGCTCCTGGATTACAAGGGCAAACCAAACACCAAATATGGAAAACACAACCTCAGGAATTGTCACAATCTCCAGGATGTTAACATAAACTGGTCCTAAGGGGCAAACCTATCTGACCAAGGATCCTTTTTATTTAAACCCCAGTAGCATCTCTCAGAAGTGGTAGGACCAAGATCGCCACCACATTCCAAAAACTAAGTTACTGATTATCCTATACTGTTACTTTTTTCTAAGTTGGCAATTCAAGGCACTTTCAGAAGACAGCAGTCAGCCACAACTACAGATCCACACAACCGTCCACACTCAAGAAACACAACTGCCCCTGAACGAAGTGTGAACAGCCTTTCTCTGTCACTGCTTTCTGAACAATACAGCCTAACCTGCGCGGCAAGTACCTTGTCAGCTGAGTATTCAGGAGGGTGCTGGTGTGCCCCAGCCACAACCGGGGGACCTGGGCACCAGCCAGCATCACAGGTCCACACCCAGAATCTCCTGGGACAGACACGCAGGTACAACTTCACTGGCAAAAATCCGGAGCTTAACCAACACTTCACACATAAAGCCATGACTGACATCATGTATGCCGTCCCCTTTGACTGTCTCACATCTGTGGTAGCAGCAACTGGAAAATTTCGCTACTCAAACATGAAATGCTTGCCGTTTCTCCTGAGAAACTAGTACTATCCATAATACATGGCATAAAGATCTTGTACATGATTACCAAATCCCCCCATGGGAGTCCTGTCAACGACTGGTTCCTCATCAACAGAGGCTGAAGGGGGAGAAGCTGGAGGCATCTGCCATCAGCTGAGCTTCCCCCAAATTTCACAGCCTCTGGGGGTTCCAAAGTCACCACGCGTCCAGGCACGGCCCCTCCTCCCCCAAGTTCAGGTTCGATTCTCACGACCTAACAAAAGCTGCGCTGAACGCCAATCACCATACCTTCTTCCATCCCTTTCACATCGCATAGCATTCCTTCTAGAAAATTCGAACACAAGAAAGTTGCACGGGTTATTGGCATTTTGGTCCGAGTGTCGCCTCCGGCACCAGTCACACTGCACAGTGGAATCTCGCTGCACACCTCAACGTGCCTCGTGTTGCTCACTGCTGCACATGCGAAAGCGGCCCAACCACCCGCAGCAGCAGCAGCAGCAGCAGCAGCAGCAGCGACAGGGACGCAAAACCCTGTCCTGAACCCGGAATCAATGCACGAAATCATAAAAGGGCAGGCACATCACCGTAAAACACAAAGCCAAAAAACAACAACAAAAAAAAACCACAACTGCGTAAACAAACTTACGACGTTCCTCACCAGCACCCTCCGCAACGCCGAGGGCGCACCGTCGGTCACGACACCACCCGAGGGGGGCCGGGTCCGCAGGCCCCCGGGCCGTGGCAGCGCCAGCAGCCGCGCGCGCCCAAGGTCACCGGAGGTGGGGTGGGGAGCCCCGCGCGCCCCGCTGCTGGGGCAGCACCCCGGGGGGCACCCGCCCCGGGGAGGGGCAGGCGGGGCAGAGGTCCTGGGGGGTCCTCGGCGCCCCTCGCCGGGATTACGCAACGTCCCTCGCCCGCGTGCACGGACCCCCTCCCCGCCCGCGCCGGCCACCCCCGCCCGGCTCCGAACAAAGCGCGCGCCGAGGGGCCGCGCCGGGCAGCGCCGCCATGTTGGCGGGACGCGGGGGGCGGCGAACAAAGGCGCGCGCGGCCGCCCCGGCCCAGCCCGGCCGGCAGGGGGCGCTGTGCGGGCGCCGCCCGCGGACAATGCGCCCCGGGCCCCGCGGCGAGCGCTCACCTGCGCCCCCGGCCGCCGCCGCCGCCGCCGCCGCGCCCCCGCTCAGCCCGCGCCCCGCACGGCCCGCGGCGCTCCCTCGGCCCGCCAGCGCCGGGCGGCTCACCTGCCGGCCGCCCAGGCCGCCGTCCGCAGGCCCCGCGGGGTGCACCGCCGCCGCCGCCGCCGCCGCTCCCTCACGCTCCCGCCGGCCCCAGCCAGAGCCAGACGGCGCCTCCCCGCCCCCGCTCCGCGCCGCGGCCGCCGCCCGCCCCCCGGCAGCCACGGCGCACGCGCACTGCGCTCGCCGAACTGCGACGGCCGCGCCGCCCCGGCGCCCGGCGCCGACGGCCGCAGTGCGCAGGCGCGGCGGCGGGGCGGGGCTGCCGCTGCGCGGGGGCGGGGCCTGGCGCGCTCACCTGGAAGAGGGCGGGGCGCGGCGGGCGGGCGGCCAGGTAGGCGGTGGGCGCGTCTGCCGGCGTGGGGGGGCCCGGGCCTGGCGCGGCCTGGCGACTGCCCGCCGGGGGGCCGGCCGCCTTGGTCGCTGCGCGTCAGAAGCGATGGGTGCCTGGCAGGGATGCAGCGGCGGAGAGGGCGGGATGGGGGGTCACATGGCGGCGCCGTGCGCAGGACAGGTGAGCGCTGCGCAGCAGCTCCGGCGGGAGGAGGACCGCAGCAGGACGCGAGCCCTTTAAAAGGATGGTCCTGCCATCTGAGATGCCGTGGAGAAAACGGCTCCCCGGCCTCGCTGCGCGGAGATCCTGCCCGCAGAAAGCCTTACCTGGGCCCCAGCGCCACAGCTGGCCGTCACCCACTGGCCTGGGGCCACCCGCCACCCACCCACCCGGCTCGCGCTCCTCGCCAGGCTGGGAGCCAGGCATACCCACGGTTGCGCGTGAATTCACTGGACTTCGGTGTCAGTTCAGATGCCCTTTGAATATGTTGCTTTTTGTTTGTTTTGCAGGAGGAAGGTGTAGAAGGCGTCGTTAAGAACCATTTTTATTCCCACAGGCTTGAACCTGGAGGCCAAATCCTGGCTTCCGGCCAGGAGGGTGCTCGGCCTGGACCTGCAGCCGGGTCACCAGACCTCATTCCTCGATTGCGTAGCTGAGGAAGCGCCGCCCTCCCCAAACGTCAGGTCAGGTTACAGACCTTTTACTGGAAAGCCCTGGGGACGCTCCTTGTCTTTGGCACCTGGCACCTTGTCTATGGCTCTGGCACCTTTTCTCCCGTATAGGATGGAGAGGGAGACTGCTGTCGGGCCAATGACGGTGCTTGTCTCAGATGACACACTTGGCAGGCAGGGGCCAACCGGAGGACTGGCTTCAGAGGTAGCACAGTGTGTCTCTGTGTCAGCCGGTTGGAAAGTACTGGGTAGTAATTCGTGTCCTTGGCTTGCTTCCCGAGGGCAGCGCGGCGGGCACCAGGAGGCAAGGGAAGGTGTCGGGGCGCGGGAGCTGTGCTGGATGGGTCCCGCTGGGTTGCACCTCCTTGGCACTATGGACCTTTCAGTAGCTGCAGATCATTCATTTTTTTTTTAAAGATTTATTTATTTTTATTGGAAAGGCAGGCTTCGTAAAGAGAAGGAGAGACAGAGATCTTCCATTTGTGCTCCACTCCCCAGATTGGCTGCAAGGGGCTGAGCTGAACCGATCTGCAACCAGGAGCTTGGAGCCGGGTCCCAAGGACTCGAGTCATCCTCTGCTGCTTTCCCAGGCCACAGGAAAGAGAGCTGGATGGGAAATGGCACATCCAGGTTGCAGCCCAGCTCCCATATGGAAAGCCAGTGCTTGCAGGCTGAGGATTAGCCTGCGGAGCCCTCCCCCAGATCCTCCTTCTTTGAGCTGGATTATTGGCCTGTACCTACCCCCCTACCCCAGCCTTTCCTCTGGTGCTGAAAACCAAGCTGTAAGCTGTGAGGCCCTCTCCTTCCGCAACCCCTGGGTTTCCCTGTGTCTGGGGAGGGTCATGGTAAGAACTAGCAGGAATACGGAGTTTAGCAGCAGCAGTCAGAGAGCAGACAGCTGGAAGGGCCACACCCCAAAGCTCTAAATCTCTCAACTCCTCAAGGCCTTACTGTGCTGAAGCTCAAGGTGGGATTTTTACTCTCATACAGTTCACCGCTGTCTATCCGCCTGACGTGTGTAAAATGAATTTAGGGGTGCTCTTTTGAACATCCGTTGAGATGCCTTTGGGATACCCAGATACGTCACTAGAGTAGTCTACTTCCTCCCCAGCTTCCTGCCTAATGCACAGCCTGAGACAGTAAGTACTGACCCGAGTAGCTGAGTCCCCACTGCACTTGTAGGAAATCGAAACTGAGGTCACAGCTCCAGCTTCAGCCTGGCCCAGCAGCCCCAGCTGCTACAGGCATTTGAGAAGTGATCTGGCGGGTAGAAGAGCTCTCCATCTTTCAAATAAACGAGCACAAAAGCCTAAGGGAGTTGTCACAAAGGAGACTCCTGTGGGAGCTGCAGACTTAGAGCGGGCCAGACCAACGCCACCCGCAGCCCTTTGCCTGCGCCTACACTGGACAAGATGAAAGCCACTCTTAAAAACTTAGTGGGCAGGGCCCGGTGCGGTGGCCCAAGTGGTTAAGGTCCTCGCCTTGCACGCCCAGGATCCCATATGGACGCCGGTTCTATCCTGGCATCCCCGCTTCCCTTCCAGCTCCCTGCCTGTGGCCTGGGAAAGCAGTCGAGGACGGCCCAAGGCTTTGGGACCCTGCACCCACGTGGGAGACCCGGAAGAGGCTCCTGGCTTCAGATCGGCATAGTATCGGCCATTGCGCTCACTTGGGGAGTGAATCATCGGATGGAAGATCTTCCTCTCTGTTTCTCCTCTCTGTATATCCGCCTTTCCAATAAAAAAAAATAATAAAAATAAATCTTTAAAAAAAAAAAAAAACTAGTGGGCAGCAATGAGAGTCTGTAGGTTTCCATCAGAAAGCGCAGACTGCCCCAGGCCTTTACTATAACTAAGGCATAATTACTACTTTTGTTCCTTAGAGATAACTGCTGAAGACGTGTAAATAACTCTGCATTGTCCCCACAGCCTGGTCTCCACCCATCCCTCTGGTTCTATTGTCAGGTCTTCACTTTTTCTTTGCTAAAATAAAACTTCGTTTTTTTCTGCTCTTACCATTGTACCTGGTCTCACACAGCATCATCCACACCACAGCACGAATCCGGGTTCGTCTGACCAGTCTTCCTTCTGCACTGAAGCCCAGTCTATCAAATGGTTCTGGACCCAATGCTGAGTGGAAGAGAGCTGATGAAACAATCCGCAGACAGTTGGAACTTTGTGTGAGCTAGACACGGGAGACCTTCTGAATCCTGGTGACGTTTTCCCGTGTTCATGGCAACTTAAGAGATTGCTCCGGTTATTAGAGTTTTGCCAGATCATTTACAAGCGAGTTCTAGTTGCTACAGTTGTTTTCGGATAGCTTAGAAACATGCATTTCGTGCGGAGTTAAGCTCACGTAGCAGGATATTAGCACCTTGTGAGTCTAAGTGAAGAGCAGTGTGTGTTCATTGCACATGTTTTTCGATTTTTCTGGACAGCTTCAAAGTAAAGAAATTAACCGAGTTACTTTATGAATCTTTGAAATGCTAATTCAGGTTGATCAGTTTGTGAGTGTTAACTTGGCTCACCAAATGTGTTTGCAGATATTCAAACATTTTTTAAAGTTTTCTCAAACACGCTGAGGCCGGTGCATGGAATTGCAGGCTAAGCCTCTGCCCACACTGCCAGAATCCCGTAAAGTTACCAGTTCATGTCCCAGCTACTGCACTTTCTTTCTTTCTTTTTTTTTTTTTTGAGAGTTATTTATTTTTATTGGAAAGGCAGATATACAGAGAAGAGGAGAGACAGAGATAAATATCTTCCGTGCGATGACTCATTCCCCAAGTGACTGCAATGGCCAGTGCTGCCAATCTGAAACCAGGAGCCAGGAACTTCCTCCAGGTCTCCTATGTGGGTGCAGGGTCCCAAGGCTTTAGACTATCCTCGACTGCTTTCCCAGGTCACAAGCAGGGAGCTGGATGGGAAGTGGAGCTGCTGGGACTAGAACCAGTGCCCATTTAGGATCCTGGCATATTCAAGGTAAGGACTTTAGCCGCTAGGCCATTGCGCTGAGCCCAACTACTGCACTTTCAGTCTGCTCCCTCCCAATAGCCTTGGAAGGCAGGGGCTCAAGTCCTTGGCTCCCTGCACCCATACGGGAGGCTTGGCAGAAGCTCCTGGCTCCCAGGTTCGCCCAGGTTCGGCTCAGCTCTGGGTGTTGCAGCTGTAGAGAAGAGAACCAGCACATGGAAGCTCTCTGCCTGCCTCTCTATCTGTAATCCTGTCTCTCAACTGAATTTTTTTTTTTAATTGGAAAATCAGATATACAGAAAGATGAGAGACGGAAAGATCTTCCATCCATTGATTCACTCCCCAAGTAGCCACAATGGACGGAGCTCAGCCAATCAGGAACCAGGAGCCTCTTCCGGGTCTCCCATGCAGTTGCAGGGTTCCAAGGCTTGGGGCCGTCCTAGACTGCTTTCCCAGGCCACAAGCTGGTTAGGAAGCAGGGCAGCCAGGACCAGAGCCAGTGCCCGTATGGGATCCTAGTGTGTGCAAGGTGAGGACTTCAGCCTCTAGGCTACCATGCTGGGCCCAAAATAGAATAAATCTTAAAAATGTCTCAAACACAAAAGTAAATCAATTTCTCAACCACCCTCCATTTCT